TTAATTGTGTGTATGTTATTTTTGTGTTCATTTATGTAGGGGTGTTTATTTTTTTGTTTAAAAAATTGATTAATAAAGCAACATTGCTTATCAAAATCTTTTTATTTAAGTTCCCAGTTTCCAACAAATACTTTTGTTACTGGGTCTACAAAAAGGTTTGTAAAAATAAGGTCCTTTTTGAAAATTACAAGAATTTTGGTTGAGTTATTGATAAGATTTTGTTACTAAATCTACAAAATGTTTGTTATAATCACAAACTAAATATTAAATTAGTTAACAGATTACAGTTGGTTGTAAACTTAACATAAAGTTATGTGGACCTGGATTAACATAAAATCTGGTAGGTGTAGGTGTAGGTTGAATTTCATCAATAATTATTTTAATTTTTTTTTGATCTTCAGTTATTTGTGGTTTTTTAGATTAACCGATAAAAAGTCTAAGTCTAATCGCACTACTTTGGTGGCCACCATTCGAAATTACAAAATCCTAAAAGAAGTAGTGCTCGACAATATTATATGGGTGATTCTACAAAAGTTGGACAACTTGATGTCATCAGTCAATATAGTCTATTTTAATTTTTTTTTGTAAATATTTATTACAAAAGATCCAGGTTTTTTTAACTTTTCCACCCAATTTTAATGTATTTTTTCAAAAGCACGTTTGTAGAAAACAATACATATTCAAAACATCAGTACCTTGGCGTGTCACAACTCCTGAATCAAATATTTGAGTGATTTTATTTTAAAATATATTCAATTTATCTTAAATTTTTTAATTTTACTACAAACTATAAAACATTAAATATTGTATTTTTCATATTTTATTATAGATTCGAATAATAGCAATTTTTTAAAAATTGATAATCTTTGTACTCACTTTTACCCGTCAGTTCTGTGTCCAATTTTAAAATTCAAAATTTCTGCGAAATATTGAAGTTTAAACGTCGAGTCCTCGTTTTAACTCAAGTTTTGGTAAAAAATTACCTACAGAGCCCGCCCTTTGCACGACAGTCATCTTGAAAACAATGCAAGCGGAGAAGTTGTGGTGAATGCACGTATAGTTCCAGTCAAAATTTCAGTACTGTGGTGAGTAGTTATTTTCTTACGTATATATATTTCATTGTAATTTATATAAGGCTAGATGTGATTAGTAGCATCCACTAATAAAAAATATCAGTAAAATACTTAATTTCGAATTATAATCTCAAATTTATATCCCATTCATCAGTACCTGTCGTCAGTTCCATGTTCGATGTTTCGGTTATCTTTTTTTCGCTAACTTCAATTTAAATTCTGCTTGCGCAGAACTTGTTTATTTAATGTCATTATATACCTACTCATATAAATTTGGTGTGGGTCACATATCTAATAATTGAGATATCGGTATACCCAAAATCCACCAGCCGCCACTGATGTGTGGTATTATTTGATTTTAAGATATTTAATGTTTAATATGCTCAAAGTTGCAATAAATCTTATATTTCCAATAAATTATATATTTAATTAGTACCCTGGTATACTCGTCACTTCCCTTGAATTCAAATATAGAAAACACAGATATTTCAGAAACTGTTTGAAAAGTGACTGACCCGGTCTGGAACAGTATATTTATTATATTATCTATATTCTCATAACAAAATACTGTTTAATTTTCTCCGAAAACTATATAAACAAAATGAGGTCAAAAGTTGCCCAACTTTTGTAGAATCACCCATATATGTATATGAAAAAATAAATTCAGAAGCCAAACATACCTATATATAACCACAATCCATTTGTGTCTGTAACAAAGATATAATTAAAAAATAACATTTTTTTAAAGATTAAAATTTGCTTTTGTTTCAAACCTAAATCAGTGCATATGCGTAAATCAGTTGATATAAATAAATGAAAGTTTCTGCCTACTTCTTTATAATTTGATGATTTTAGAATGGTGTTTTATTTAATTGGGTGCATGTTATTTTTGTATTCATTTATATAGGTATCTGTTAATTTTTTTGTTTAAAAAACTTTACCTTTACAATATCTATAATAATTATGTAAAAAATAAAAAAACAATTAACTACATATGTATGTACATATAAGAAAAATGAACACAACAAACCATTCACTGTGGTGACTGGCGATTTTCCCATTATAAAAACTTGTCTATAATAATACGAAATAATAACAGTATAGACAGCAGACAAGAATCCGTTGAAAAAATCAATCAATTACCATATTATTTATAATCTACAAAATAAATTACGAAATTAAATTAAATTACCATTATTATTTGTCCAGAAATTGATAACCGGGCAAATTTTAAGATCCACGTTACCGATTCATTTTATGACACGTGAGATGGAAAAAACCGTTAAGGCGATAAAAACTAGAATTACTGGGTTACGAGAGCCATCTGATTAATTACCGGTAATAACACAGTAACTTAATAGGAACATTCTTTTGATCATGTACAGGGTGTTCAAGTCTAGATGATTTTTTGTCCATGGTGAAACTACATGGATTATTGCATGGCTGAGATATCATGGTATCCCCAACAGTTAACATCCAATTCTTGTGTAAAATTTTCCCCTGAATCCGAAAATATCGTCAAAAATTATGAATTCCATATTATATGAAAAATTGACTATGAAAATGTAAAATGTAAAATGTAGAATGTAAAATGTAAAATGTAAAATGTAAAAAGTAGAATGTAAAATGTAAAATGTAAAATGTAAAATTTAAAATGTAAAATGTAGAATGTAAAATGTAACATTTAAAATGTAAAATGTAAAATATAAAATATAACATGTAAAATGTAAAATGTAAAACGTAAAATGTAAAATGTAAAATGTAGAATGTAACATTTAAAATGTAAAATGTAAAATATATCTGAAAATCTGTTCTACTTTTCTAATTTTTAACGATATTTTAGGGGACAAGTTTACATTTAAATTGAATGCTAATTGTTCGGGATATAAATTGCTATTAACGAAAATTATTCGTGGCTACTTTTTCGCTATGACAAAAAGTCTATCCTTTTATTGAAATTCGAGTTATGTTTGATCTTTATTATAATTTTGAAGGTTTTAGAATATTTGACAGTTATCAGCAAAAAATAATGACAATATTATCAAATTAAAAACTTGGACGCCCAGTATATTCTTTTGCTCATATTTATAAACAATCGTTAATTAAAATTATGCATGCATGAATTCCATAAAATATGAAGTCCCTCGAGAATATACGGTTTTTTCATTAACCTTCCACGATAAATTTAAATAGTAATAAATAATTATAAAAATATTATTATGTTATACAATTTACTATGCTTGTGCAAATTGCAAATTAATTGCTTTTAACATAGAAAATAAACAAAAAGAAACATTGTGTTTCTTGCTGTTTTATCGTTTTTTAATTTGTTTAAACTATACGGTAGTCAACAAAGTATTAATTTACTTTAAATTAGTTTTTAACAATTAACCATATCTTTAAATAAGAAATGATAAAACTAAAAATGTATGTTCAAATATTTATGAGAAATGTAAAATGTAAAATGTAAAATGTAAAATGTAAATTGTAAAATGTAAAATGTAACATTTAAAATGTAAAATGTAGAGTGTAAAATGTAAAATGTAAAATGTAGAATGTAAAATGTAACATTTAAAATGTAAAATGTAAAATGTAGAATGTAAAATGTAAAATGTAGAATGTAACATTTAAAATGTAGAATGTTAAATGTAAAATGTAGAATGTAAAATATAAAAGTTAAAATGTAAAATATAAAATGTAGAATGTATTCTATAGAATGTAGAAAACGCAAAGTTATAATATGTAAATATAATATACATATTATAAAACTTTGCATTTTGGTTTTAACCTTTTAACATACATTGTATATACAGGGTAGCTTATCGAATTTAAGTATAAAAATTTGGCAACACTGTATTTACTTGAGACTTTTCCTAAGCCAACATATCACAAATCAAAAACGGTTGCTATGGAAACAAAATAAACGAGCTGAAAAAAATAAAATGAGAAATGTAAAATGTAGAATGTAAAATGTAAAATGTAACATTTAAAATGTAAAGTGTAAAATGTAAAATGTAGAATGTAGAATGTAGAAAGTAAAATGTAAAATGTAGAATGTTAAATGTAAAATGTAGAATGTAAAATGTAGAATGTAGAATGTAAAATTTAAAATGTAAAACTTATATTGTAAAATGTAAAATTTAAAATGTAAAATGTAGAATGTAAAATGTAAAATGTAAAATGTAGAATATAAAATGTAGACTGTAAAATGTAAAATGTAAAATGTAAAATGTAAAATGTAAAATGTAAAATGTAAAATGTAAAATGTAAAATGTAAAATGTAAAATGTAAAATGTAAAATGTAAAATGTAAAATGTAAAAATGTAAAATGTACAATCAAGTTAAATTTTAAATTTTAAAAATGTGTTACTTAAATGATAATTCATTTACAAAGATATATAATTTTTTTGTTATTTTCAAAAATTAGTTTTTAATTAAAAAATATAAACAACCTATTTTAAAAAATTAAATTATTTTTCATGTGAATGTAAAAAACACAGTTTGGACACGATTTTTTATTAAAATTACGATTTAAAGTCTAAAACTTAATTAAAATTTTAAATAAATAATACCGATAGTATAATTAATTTAAATCTGATTGTTCACATAATTAAAAAACATTTACTAAACCAACTAAACACAATATTTATCAATTGCATATTGTTAGTTAATAAAAGGAACTCGAATAAATTGATTATTTTACAAATAATTACACAATCTCCTTTAAGTTAATTAATTAAATTCCTGTTAGGTTGATTGTGAGCATAGACAATCGGTGATTTTTATTTTAACGGTCTAGCCGTATGTTTTGTTGTTTTTTAATCAGTTGCCTCGCAATTAATTTCATTAAAAGGTATGTAAGTCAATACGCGTGAGATAGACAAATAAAGCCGGGCTTAGAATTATGTCTGTGAGTCCGGAACTTCTCGCACATTGGGACAAGTCAAGAGAAAGACTTAAATGTTGTACCTTCTTTATTAAAATTTAAAAGTTAACTTTTTTAATAAAATCTGAAACTATTTGACCGACTAGGACACAATTCGCAACGAGATGTGATCTCAAATTAAATGGAAACACAGATGCATCGGCAACTCGTAGCTTTTTGACACCAAAGACTCTTAACTTCGAATCTACCACCGCTCCCTTTTTTGGATCTTTTCCCATAGCGCATGTGCCCAATGGGTGATATGAGGGATGGTTAAGTTGCCTGAAATTGCAGTACCAATATCCCTTTGAATCCAACTTATATTTTTCACATGCTTTTAGTTTTGGGACTAACAAAGTCGCGTTGATTTTCTTGAATGCCTCAGTTTTGACAATTTTCCTTGTAAATTGTATTATTTTGTAGAGCATCTCTAAATCAGCTGGATTGCTGAGTACGTTGGGATCTACTAAAGGGTAATCAAAGGGTGAATTACTTTTTAAGGTTACAGAACCCAATGATTTTGGATCTAAATCTGTAGCCAAAATAGAAAAAGTTTTTGCGTTTCCTGCTGATAAATCCTTCAAGGTTGCATCAGTGTAGTTCACAACTTTATTGTTCAAATTTGGGATGGGGCTCTTTGCAAAGGGTATCAAAAATAGCTCTATATCCGGATAGTTTTTATGTTTTGAATCGTAGAATGAAACCCCCTCAAAATTTGAAGTGGTTAAAATACCTCTCCCATGAACGAAATCTTTTAGGGCAGAGTTAAGATCAATATCGGGATCTGTCGTATTGTGGGTGATGCTTAGGAATATGCTGTTTTGATCCTTTAGGTTCCTTCCAACATCCAGTTCACTTATAACGGGAATGTTGAATTTAGATAGATCCATTTTTCTACCTACTCCGGAAAGCTGTAGGATTTGAGGTGATTGAAATGCGCCAGCAGAAAGAATGATCTCATTTTTAGCTTTGGCTCTATACAAAGTACCATGTCGACTAAATAACACACTTTTAGCTATTTTGGTTTTAGGGTGAATTTCTATTTTAACTACATAACTTTCCATTGACACCATAAGGTTTTTTCTATTCTTGATGGGCAATATAAAGGTTGTTCCAGTATCGGCTCGTTTCCCGCCTTTAATTGTCGATTGAATTAGCGATACACCCAACTCATTTAAACTATTATAATCGGTTTTCTTAAATCCCAACTCCAAGTGAGCTCGCACAAACGCTTCCGATCTAGGATTATCGATGTTGAGGTTTTCAACGTTTAAATACCCCTTTTTACCGTGATAGCAGGGCGCATAAGGTGCTGCAGGGTTGGTGTGAGTAAAATTTTCCCCTTTTTTGAAGTACCTTAACACGTTGCTGTACGACCAAGCACTATTTCTTACGTCACGAGCAAGTCTGTCAAAGTCCTTTGGATTTGCCCTGGAGTATATCATGCCATTAATTAGCGATGTGCCGCCAACACCTCTGCCTCTTGGACATGGACAAGCCTGATTTTTCATACCTGAAATATTTATAGGTTATTGGGTTTTAATTACGTGATTTTTGTAGGTATGCTCCACACCTCAAAGTCCCACCACGTGACCACGTACGGAACGCAGTCTTTTGAAAATTTGGCATTTAAGGCTTTTCAGGTTATGCATCTGTCAAAGTAAAGTCAATGAAAGAAATAATATTTATAGCGTTACCGCTTATGTTTAAAGTTAATAAATCTTTATAGTATCACAATAAAATTGGTTGGTTTAAGAATTTGGGAATATAAATACTGCATTTAATGAAATTGTAAAGTGTATGGTGCCAAATAAGTGATATTTTTGTGCATTGGGTTTATTATGGAATATTATTATGGAATAAGAATATCTGTATCAAAGGTAGGTTAATGTATTAGAACAAAAAATATTATTTAATTTTGTATTTTAAGGTTAGAAAAATCTATTTTGGCCAAAATAAATAAGTGGATTATTTGGAAGAGTGTGTTAATATGGTCATAAATAAATATAGGTATACTAAATAATTGTTGAATATGGTTCAAACTAAATTGAAGCTTTTATACTTCTAATGACAAAACTTGTGCATACCTCTCGGCATACCTACTTTAAGTTAGATTATAAGAAAACAAACAATTTTTAGAGAAACTTGAAATGTGAAAAGATGTAATACTCCCATTACATGTGATTTATTAAAATTTTTAAATTTATAATGATTTTTCGATGTAGATCAAGTTCAGTTAAAGCTTTTTAACTATTTGTATTGACAAAACTTTATGTAGGTACACTTTAAGCTTGATAAGAAAAACCACCACATTTTTAAATACCATATTATACAGTCTTTTAAATAATCCAAAATACTTATTTATTTTGGTCAAAATAAATTTTTCTAACCTTAAAATTACAAAATTAGATGATATTTTTGTTATAATGTATTAACCTACCTTTAAAACAGATATTCTTATTCCATAATATAGAAGCTAGATTTTTTTTAATACTGTTGAGTTAAAATTATTTTATGGAGAAAACCAGATATTTGGACCAAATGCACAAAAATATTACTTATTTGGCACCATACACTTTAGAATTTCATTAAATGCAGTATTTATATTCTTAAATTGTAATATTATAAAGATTTATACATTTTTAACGCCTAAACATAATATTATTTCTTTCGTTGACTATACTTTGACAGATGCATAGCCTGAAAAGCCTTAAATGCCAAATTTTAAAAAGACTGCGTTCCGTACGTGGTCACGTGGTGGGACTTTGAGGTGTGTAGCATAGTACCAAGACATCCATTTTTTTGAGGTGTACTATGAAACCCCCAGTTAAAATCACTGAGCTGAGCCTGATATACCAGTAATGGTACATCGGTGCTTATATCTGATCCTTTCCCAGCTTCTAGAACTAAAACTTTTTTATGTGTTTGTTCTGAAAGGCCATTGGCTACCACAGCTCCAGTAGTGCCAGCTCCGATGACGATGTAGTTAAATTCACCAAACTCTATTAAAATATAATAATAATTAATAATGAAAAAAAAATATTTTTTTTTACCAGTGATATCATTTGATTTTGGTTTATATCGAGTTGCATCCACATCGACGGTATAGTTGTTAGAATTTTCTATTGCTACATTAATTTTCGTTTTGTAATTTTGAATAATAGCATCATAGTCTTTCGCAAATATTTGTACTGATACGAACAAAAAGTAATAAGTAACTATTTTAATCATATCAGTAGTGTTAATGTAGTAGTTGGGTTTCATTACGCTACTAGTCAATATTTGTTGGTTTAAGGTAAAGTTATAAAAACTAATTACCAACAATTTTAATGAATTTACACACCATACCTAATTATTTTTAAAAATAAAATAAAAATCAGCATTGATTATTTTAAAATATATGCATTTTTAATTTGTTGATAACAGATACATTACTACGCAGTATTTTTCTTTAAAAACTGTTTTTTATTTGTATTATTTTTTAAATACTTTTGAAGAATTTTAAATTTTAGACAATGTTCAACTCATTTTCTGCTTTTAAATTTTTAAATTATGTGCTTGCTTTTAGAAATAGAAACAGTAGGTTTTGAGTAAAAGGATTTTGTTCAGGGCGGCAGTCATGCTACAAAAAGTTTCGAGACTCCACCTCCCACCCATTTTCTAGCAAAATTTTTCCGGACATGCAATTTTTGAGTATAGCTCCCTCCTTTTGATTAAAAAAGTTTATTCCAAACCCATAATTTATGTATATCAAGCATTAACTAACATATCCTCTAGAGTTTGTTTCTTAATTTTTTTATATTCTTGTCACAAATTTTAAATGTCTTTTTTCCCTCTCGAAGTCTTCAGCATTAGTGCATTTATTTTTCAAAACATGTGCCTAAATGCCCAAAAAGATGTTATTGGTAACTGTAAAAGAATAGGTAAAAGATCATTGCCTTTTAGAAACAGGTCTAGTTTTCCTATAACTATAATATAACTATTATAATTATAACAAACCTAATTAATAAATCTTTTACAAGCACAAACAATTAAATAAAATTTCCACCAATTTCAACAAAATTTCTTTGTTCTTTTCAGAGGCTTTAAGCCGTAATTTTCGTTTTTTATACCTTCTAATGCAAATTTAGATACTTATAACAAAACACATTGCAAACTGCGAACATAACCCAATTGTGTATGTTTTATATTTCCGCAATCCTTTTCAAGTTTTTGTCAATAATAAGGTATAGTCAGTTATAAATGTATTTATGTGTATATTTAATAATACATTTTAAAAATGTATGATTCTTAAAATGTAATAAACACATTTTTAAGTAGGTATATGTTAGATAACTTACAAATCTTTACTGTCATTTAAAATTTGCTGTTGCCAAATTGGTTTAAACTTAAATCAGTGTATATGCGTAAATCAGTTGATATAAATAATTCAACATTTCTGCATATGGCCCTAAGAGTAACTAATTTTCTTTATTTATATGAAGGGTATCTAATTATTTAAATGTTAACTTCATACATACAAATTATTACCACAATACCCTTGGAATATTATTTACTTAATAATACACTAAAACATGAATTTTTAAAATACCTACTTTCCATACATACTATACTGATAAATAAAGGATGGTAAAAGAAACAACCATGCGCGCGCATCTATATTCGAATTTGTGTTATAACATCATTTAAAACATCCCAATCCAGGCCAAGTTGTGCAAAAAGGGCCAGACTACGGACGTCCTGTAAATGGTCTTAAGGCCTAAATTTAGGTCCAGAAATCCCATAAAGGACATCCTACGGACGTTCTGGATGTGTCCTCTGAACGTCCCATGAGTTATTTTTGTTCTTATAAGGATAAGTAGGTCCTGAAGAATTGCTCCATTTAAACATATGTACTATACTTGATAAACTAGCCAATATTTATCCCCACTATAATCATTGTTCAGCTGTGACATTACAGACGCACATCTCTAAGTAATATTTGTAACCTATCAGTATATATAGTTATCAAGCGTGCGTAAGCAGTAGTGAAAGGTACTGCAACCATATTTGTTTATAACTTTGTTAAGTAGTTTTGCTTTTATGATTTTTTTTTAGCAATTATGTAAGTAAGTAAAATAATAGTATATTAAGTTTGATAAACGCCATTTTATACAAGAATTTAATTAATGATTGTATAGAAAAGTTTATAAACGAGGTGCATACTATACTTTTTCTACGACAAATACTTATTATTATCTTAAAATAATTTAAATCAAAAATTTGTATAGAGCGCCACCTATGAAACAATTGGGGAATCTGTGTGTCACCGTCAAATGTCACATTTTAAATTTTATAAACACAGATTATAAAGGTTATAAATCGAAATGTATTTCTTGAAAATTGTCAGTTTTTCACAGTGAAAGTAAAGAAAATGTTTTTTGAGGACTTTACAGTGGAGTCCGTGCCCGAATTTAAGTTATAGTTTACTGCCGGCGAAATTAAAAGTTCAGTACAATGTTCATATAAACTTTTCAAATATTGGCGTTGAGAAACTATTTAATACTTTCGTATTTTTGTATTGAGATAATAAAATAATTTTCACATTTAGTATATTTATTTTAACGATTGTATGACATTTGACAACTGTCAACTAACTTAAAACTAACTTTAGCCCGTGACTAAAGCGCCATACGTCAATGTGTATTTAAAAGGTCACTATAGTGTCATGGAAACATACTATAAAGGGCGTTTTAAAGGTGGGAGTAGAAAAATATTTTTAATTAATTAATTTTTTCATCCTAGGTTTTCTGGGACATTATTATAACTATATAATACACAATGTTGAATAAATAAAATGTTCTTGAAATAATTATAATTTTTACTTATTTTTTTATAAAAAAAACATTAAAAAAGGTAATAAAAGAACGGTTATTTTAACACTGTGTTTTTTCCCATTTAAATATTAGGTCGTGTTAAACGTGAAATTTCATTAAAGTAATTGCCGTTTTGCCAAAGATCAGATAACAGGATAAAAGGACGAATAAAGATCAGTGGTTGCGTGTGCCTGTATTGATTCAATATTTCGTTACCGCATCGTATACACTTTAACTTTGTTTTTATATTCCATTAGGGTTGAACGAAACATGATATGTTTTCAGCAATAATAAAAGTAGGCAAACTTACCTTTGTCACCCTAAAATGATGAAAAACTCATATATATTTTTGTTAATTTGTGCAAAAAGTATAATTATGTTAACGGACCATTGAATTGTGAATGTGAATTTTTAAATTTAATACTTATTGCTTTATTTGTAAAACCAGAATTTATTTTGTAATCAGGATGGGATTTATATAATAGGCCATGGCGACAAATTTTGTAAGGCGAAAATTCATAATTTAAAGTATATTACATACAGTACATACAAAAAATATTTTAAAAAAAATCTACTTACTGAGATATTACACTTCACGGTGGATAGATTTTTAAATAGCAAATTAATAAACTTAAACTTTTGAATTATAAAACAGCAACACTCTTATCTGCATATAAATTATAACTGACCTTTAGGAATCATATGCATCTATAATGTCGTAAACAGAGGTTTTTGCTTATTTAAAATGATTAAAGCGCCATCCGTTGCATAAAATTTAAAGCAAAAACAGATTCACGGAGGATAGAATCAATTTTTGTAACACCTGCATAAATGGTTATAAAAATTATTTCTTTTAATTTTTAATAATAGTTTATATTTGATTCGATTGCTTTGGATGTGTTTAATTTACTTAGTGAACTGATATTTTTAGTAAGCTTTTACTACCTCAGATATTTGAAAACATATAGGTTAACTTAGAAAGATTAACAGTCACGGAGGATAGGTTTTAGACTTTCAAAACATTGTAAAAATAATTAATTAATTTACTTATACCAAAACACATTGCAAACTGCGAACATAACCCAATTGTGTATGTTTTATATTGCCGCAATCCTTTTCAAACCCAAGTTTTTGTTAATAATAAGGTTTAGTCAGTTATAAATGTAATTATTTTAAATTATTATAATTACTACTTTCCAGTCAAGGAATAGTTGCCAAACAACACACGTATGCTAAATATATAAGTTTGGGAATCATTACGAAACAAAAAAGCTGTCCCCAATTTACTGGATCTTTTAGTTACCATTCACGAAACAGTCATTTCCGTGTAAGAGGTGTGAAAATAACGGGAATTGTTAAATTTCGCGGGTTCGGAGGGTCCGGTTGTCATAAAATTTTATTTATTATGTTGGTATACATGCCCCCGAAGTATGATAAAAACTTTAGCTGTTTTCATTGTTTACTTTGTCTGAGGCAGCCGCTAAGGTTATACGTGTTTTATGAGCTCGGCGATTATTCGTTCGTGAAAAGAATTTGTATCCAATTTTGCTTAAAAAATGAAACAAATTGTGAGAAATGTTAACAAAGGCCTATAGTGAGTCTGCAATAAGTAAAACAGGAGTTTACAAGTGGTATGAGAGTTTCCAAGATGGCCGTGAAGACGTTGAAGATGACGAACGCCCCGAACGCACATGCACATTAACAACCGATAAAAACATGGAAAAGTGGAAGAAATGGTTATAAACCATCAGAGAAGTCGCTGATGATGTTGGTATATCGATTGGCTCATCCCATGAAATTTTTTCGAATGTTTTGGGTATGAAACGCGTGGCAGCAAAATTTGTTCTAAAATTGTTAAATTTTGAACAGAATTTTTGGCCAAAAACAATGCTGTAATCATGCCCCAGCCTCCATATTCTGCCTGACTTTTTCCTATTTCCAAAAATAAAGAGAACCTTAAAGGGCCGTCGTTTTGCAAGCATAGATGACATTGAAAGCGCATCGCTGAAAGAACTAAAGGCTATCCCAAAGATCGAGTTTTAGAAGTGTTTCGAGTATTGGAAGAAGAGCTGGCACATGTGCATAATATCTGTTTTGAAGGCGACAACATTGATGTAGACGAATAAATAATTATTTGTTTCAAAAAACCAAAATTCCCGATATTTACTTAAATAACGATGGGTATTATTGTATATTGAGAAAATTTTAAAACGTGCAATTACGTGTTTATAATAAAATGTAAACCCTATAATAATATATTATAATGTATACATTATAATATATTATTATAGGGTTTACATTTTATTATAAACACGTAATTGCACGTTTTAAAATTTTCTCACATTTAAAACATTTAATTGATTTTCATTATTTTCGCCCGCACAGACAGTATGTATAATTTCCTCTTCAAACATTCAACATGGCCTCTTACACGTTAAATTTCGGCGATGTGTATAATTTGCGCT